GCCTATAGATGTATATCAAAACGGTTCATTTGTTTAGCATATAACATTTATTGCCTATAGATGTATACCACACGCATATATATATATATATATAAATATATATATATATATCGACATTTCATTCCTATAATTGTAGTAAAATATAACATTTTCTACCCAAATTTGTTTCACATATACAGATATAAATAAACACTTCATGCTTACAGATGTATAACATTTAATATAGTCGTAAATTCACTCTTATTTTTAACAAACGAGGTTTCTCCTGTCGCATTATAAACACAAAATTCATTGAGTTCTTTGAAAAATACAACAACATTCTTCTTACTTATGGGTTTACAAGTTTTACCAAATATCATGACATTTTAAAAACTTTCTTTGTACACTTTAAACATATTTGATATTGATTAGAGTAATAGTCAACCGCATTAGTGTATTGACAACCATTGGTTTTACCGTTCTATAGTTAAGCTCGGATTATACGTGTATATAATAAATATTAGTTACATAACATTACATCATTAGTCTAGTTACATCAATTTTTGCTAGTTATTTTTATTGTCACATTAAGGAATGCTGTAACTTTCCTTTCTAAGCATTATTATTATTGAATTATCTAGAAGATTATCGTGTTTCCTATTCGCTTTTATAGAATATGTAATTTTATCTATTACGTTCTGTTGCGTGCTACGTGTGTTTTGTAGGTGAGGTGACAGACGTTAGTTGTATTAGACACACCTCATATTATGCTTAACAAATTGTTTTTTAGCTATTTAGTGGACGAATCAGGTATTAGTAAATTATTAATTTGTTATTTTGTATCTTCATAAACGTTAGTTCTTGGCTGTACTCTTGGTAAATTCCTACTATTTGACTCGACATAATCTAAACAGTAACATGTGTCGTAGCAATATATCTCAGATGCTACGCTCCTCTAAAGTTACACTGCAGTGTTGTTTAATAGGTTTTCATTGGTCGCAAGATGAAGTTAAGGAGAGTTGGAGAAACTTGAGGTAGTTAGAAAATTAATTCTATGACAGTAATGAGTTGAAGCCAAAAGTTAGTGCCAGTGGGTACCGAAAGTAAGGGATGCTATAGTATTTCTTTATTGCAACTTTAATTAACATTATCAATATGATTATTTAGTGTATCTAATTTTATTTTTTATTGTTGTGCTTTTATTATAGAAATAATCTGACATTGTTTTGTTAGTTTAGCATAAGGGTTTAGGGTTATCTAAATGATCTAAGCTGGCCGAATTCGTGAGATATTACTGGAAATACAGCCGATTATATTGTTAAGAGCGAGGGTACTCAATCGACGAAACAGTGCATTATAATATCCATAAGTAAGAACGTTATAATTAATTGAATATACGCATTACCACGCTGAATTTTAATTTCGCTCTAAGAAGGTAGCTTGCTCTGATAGGAAGTTGTATAAAATATCACATTTTCCGCCTTTAGATGTACAGTACTTGTATGTATATGTATCTTCAGATGTATAACATATTAGAGATCGTGCCTATTGATGTTAAATATATAAACATTTCATGCCTACACATGGATAACATATTACAGTTCATGCCTATAGGCATATACTACATATGTGAACTTTTTATTTCTATAGATACAATAATTATAATGCTCTAATTGTTTTGGCACATTTTAACTGATTTTAACAGATGTAAGAATTGCGTTTATTATAGCCTGAAATAATATTTATACATAATTATCATTATTATTTGGTTTTAAGTAAAAAGTCAATAAAAGGAAGTAAGTGATTTTTTTTCCTAAATGTATGTTTATATATTTTGTTGGCAAGTTACTGCCTCCTAATCTCCCAAGCTACTGATTCCAAAAAAAGACTGGTTCTACGTTTGTAAATACATTTTTTTCCACAAGGAATACAATATTTAAAATAGTCTTGGGCTTAATTTCTTATTCGTTCTTCATTTAAAGAAACTAGTCTGGTGATTTTTTTTTCTCACCTTGTTTATCAAATACCTACGAATTTAAACTATGTTATCAAAACCATTCCCTAACAGTAACGATTGAAAGGTCGCCACTAAGGTAAAATTACCCAGAACTCTGTTAGGTCAAGTGTAAAACAGCTTGTTTGGAAGTAACACAGAAAGGAAGAATATGAGATTTTCACATAGATTTAGGTTATATTACTGTCTATAGAAAAAGTTGTGACCCAGAATCTGCTACGAAACTTCTGAAAATTTCGTCTTATTGGCTATTCTATAGAAATCCTAAGTCGTAGAGAAGAAGGACAGTAAAGCATTAAGAGCAAAACTAAAGAAATTATAAGTCTAACCCACTGAAAAAACAAAATATATCATGATTCTGAGATATATTTATGAGTTATGTTGTTCCAAACTGAAAACACTTATAATAGATAAAAAATATTTTTAAAACACTCGTGTTGAAACTTCGACTTTACGAATATCTAGTTTCCATGCTTTTCTTGTACTTAAAGAATCGATGACTTGTATAGCGTAGCTTTGAAGTATTTGTGTAAAACCTTTCTAGCAAACTTCACACCGACGTATTTCCAATTCATATTGTAGAGTATAAAGTTTTGTCATTTTTTTAACTTATTCTATTGAACATGAACTCTGATATCTCATCTAAACATTTTAGATGTACAAATAGTTTTACTTTACATCTTTACAGGGTTTGCCCTTTTATAAAACATGTCTTTTTTATATCATATCTTTACGTGACTGGTCCCTTTGTTTTAACTTGGCTGTTTTTATACATGTAAAATGTTTATATCACATATCACCACATATGTGGGGGCGTTATAATGTGACGGTCAATCCCACTATTCGTTGGTAAAAGAGTAGCCCAAGAATTGGCGGTGGGTGGTGATGACTAGCTGCCTTCCCTCAAGTCTTACACTGCTAACTTAGGGACGGCTAGCGCAGATAGCCCTCGTGTAGCTCTACGCGAAATTCAAAACAAACAAATTAAGCTTAACTAAAAATAAGATTTCATCCAAAGAGAAATTTAAATCCCAGATGTCAGGGTAAGCTATCAAGCAAAACAGATGCAACTTTTTACGATGGTGCCAATTTATTAAAATCTTGGAGGTGGGGGTAGCGGCAAATTGAATCCTAATTTCTAGAAAATATATGAACTTTTTATGACATAGCACGTTCCGGAGTTCATGCATGAAGGGAAAGTACATAAGAGCCAGAGGATTATGAGGAACAACAACGACAAAAAACATAGACATTTCGACTTTGTAATTTGCATATCAATATTAGTAATACAGCTCATTTACCAGATATTTTACATTTCTTAAAACAATTAAGGCTTTGATGGGGCGGCTGCCTCCACCATCACCATTAACACCACAGTCACTACGACATTCCTTCAAATGAGGTTTTCCACGTACCCTTTGTTCCACAGTGGCACAGCGGTATGTTTGCGGACTTATACCGCTAGAAACTGGGTTTCGATACAAGTGGTGGGTAGAGCACAAATAGCCCTTTACTCTTAATAACAAAAACAACAACCTGCCCTCTAGATCCCAGAGACATCAGTTTCAAAATAATGGCTGTGGAGGGTAATTCACCCTTAAAATATTCAAACAAATATTAGCATATATGTTACAGTAGACAAACAGAAGTGCAAATTAATATATACCAATGCAATTCTGTTTCTCATCGGTCTTCCTTTGTTTACTGCACGTTTTTCCTTTTCAAAAAGAGTACAATAAAAAACAACAACAAAAAACAATAACTTTACCTCGTTTTGACTGCATATTTCTCATAATCCAAAATAGATATTTATGATGGGCAGAGCACAGATAGCCCATTGTGTAGCTATGTGCTTAAACTACGAACAAACAAACTGTTCAGAGACGTATGAATAGTGGAATTCCAGTATTTGGAACAGCCGTGGCAATACTCCAGATTTGACCAAAAGTCTATAGAGTATATAGAGTCACGGCAGCATTACTCCACCCATATAACTTCTGTAGATATTTTTTGATTTTACTTTACACCTCGTGCACATGGCTAAATCAGAAATTAGGTTTAGATTATGCACAATTAGGGCGTGTTATTCGCTGCAGGAAATTTTTCGTGTCAGCTCTACTCCCCGTGCTTGAAGTTGTAAACTGTAACTAAATTTTTGAATCAAGAAGTAGGGTTAACTTACGTACAAACAGAGTGCGTAATTCACTGTGGTAGATTTCCTCTGTCTGGTTTTTACCTCGTGCTCGTAGTTTCTATGAGTGATTAGATGTCTGAATCAAATACTAGAGTTTACATGTCCGTTTCAACAAACTGGTACATAGATCTGAACTAAAAATTAACCCAGTAAGTAATGCAGCTAAGTTAATATACCATTCTGACTAGGAGTCCGTAATGTTCTAAAATAAAAACAGATAATGATTAGAATGCTTTGATCGGTCAGTTAGGTACCCTCGCTGTTAGTGATATTTTG